ATAAATAAAAAGTGTCTTTATGAAGTTATGTTTATTATTATACCGAAAATATCCTAAAAATTATAAAATACATTCTATTCATAAAAAAGAAAATGTGACACTTAAAAAACACAAAACTTGAATTCCCGACTTTTCTATAGAAAATCGGACCACCGTTTATATAAACTTTTTTGTAGCTCTTGAGCTCTGTTATTACCTCATGAATTATTACTCTCTAGTTACGGGGCCTTTATCCTTTATAGTAATGGAAAGTATTGCGATCTTGAAAATTTTCAAATCCACATTTTTAATGGAAACACACTTTTTGAGGTCCCCTATGTTGAACTAAATAAGTTCTACAAATCGTCTATGTGTGAGTGTGTGTGTAAACAACTTAGCTCAAAAACAAAATTGAAATTACCTATTTAAATTAGGTATATACTTGGAAGGTGGCATTTTCATTGAAATAATATATAAGGGCTTAAATGCTGTTTTGTTTTAAATTCCTCCCTCTAAAGTACCTTTTTTTTATTTTTTTTATTTATAAGCATTACTAGTTTAACGTATTAATACTAATAGTAAATGGATAAATATAAACTTGGGACGATTTTCATGATTAACTAAAGCAGAAATAAGGAGTTGTCCTAGATAGAAACCGTGAAATCGGAAACATATGAAAACGCCCAACTTTTATCGATCCATCTCTTTTTAAATTATTCACAATCAGTCATCAAAAGGCTTCCTATCATTGTTTATTGTTAGTATAACTAACTGTTCACGTGTTACGCTTACACATAATTTAAAAAAAAAAAAAAAGGTTTTCTCCTACATTGTTGAGGTTATACTAATGAAAACCTATAATATACATTACGTACTGATATTATATATATATATATGTATTTACAACTTTTCCTTCATCGACCTTTGAGTATTAAATTCAAACTTCACTATTTTATTGGGAATAAGGTCACTTAATTATTATTTAATAAACTAATTAATGTTCATTTCTTCTGTTTATTGACGTTTCGATCCCGGTATTTTCTTTTTATTAGTCAACCATGGGATCCTCTTCAAAGCTCGAACTACAAATAGCTCAATCGATACACAATATTACTTCCATATGACTTTAATAACAATTATTTCAAAATGTTTAACCTACTTTAAAAAAATAGAGCTTCGATCAGGCCAGGGACACACCGACAGCCTCAGCACCGTCCACTAGCACATATATTAAGCTACTGGATCGCTAAGCGTCTACCCTCCCCGGTCCTGAGCCCGAAGACAAATTATTACACAATAAACAATGAAAAAAACAAAAACAATGTCGGACAAACCTCACAGTACTTATCTAGGCGGGTTTATGCACATTAATATAGCATACAAACCAAAAAAGAAGATACGGCGTTAGCTATACATGCTATTAAAAATAATCATAAAATAGAGTTAGATAAAGTCAAAATACTAGATACAGAAAATAATCAGCAAAAACGGTTGATTCTAGAGATGATGCACATTGGAAGGACCAAAAACACAATAAATACTCGGAATGATTTGGCCAAATTGAATTGTGCGTATAGCAACATTTTAAAATTTGCATAATCCAGATGAGAGATTTCGTTTTATTTTGTTTGGAAAAAAGGGAAAATACAATTATAGAATGGGAACTATAGTAACTATAGTAGTAATTCAAATGGTTTCAATATTGTTGGATGAGTTTATAATGTTGACATTTGATTTTATGAGATGACTAATGTACATATATTTTAATTAGTTGATATTTATTTAAGGTTTTAGCAATTTTAAAGAATTAGATGTATGTGTGTGTATATGTTGTGTAGTGTGTGTGTGTGTGTGTGTGTGTGTGTGTGTGTGTTGTGTGTGTGTGTGTGTGTGTGTGTGTGTGTGTGTGTGTGTGTGTGTGTGTGTGTGTGTGTGTGTGTGTGGTGTGGGTGCGTGCGTGCGTGCGTGCGTGCGTGCGTGCGTGCGTGCGTGCGTGCGTGCTTGCGTGCGTGCGTGCGTGCGTGCGTGCGTGCGTGCGTGCGTGCGTGCGTGCGTGCGTGCGTGTGTGTGTGTGTGCGCGCGCGCGCGCATATGTATTTATATATGAGTGTTGTATGTATGTATAAGTATATATTTAATGTTAATTAATTTGCATAAGTTAAATTGTTGTACGACTAGGAGATGTTATACAAGCTGTTTTTATTATTCATAGATATGTTTTATTGATGCTGGTATATTGGTCATAGAGGCATCTTTCAATTGTTTTATATAAAATAGATGCAATTTTTCATTGTTTATTGTGTAATAATTTGTCTTCGGGCTCAGGACCGGGGAGGGTAGACGCTTAGCGATCCAGTAGCTTAATATATGTGCTAGTGGACGGTGCTGAGGCTGTCGGTGTGTCCCTGGCCTGATCGAAGCTCTATTTTTTTAAAGTAGGTTAAACATTTTGAAATAATTGTTATTAAAGTCATATGGAAGTAATATTGTGTATCGATTGAGCTATTTGTAGTTCGAGCTTTGAAGAGGATCCCATGGTTGACTAATAAAAAGAAAATACCGGGATCGAAACGTCAATAAACAGAAGAAATGAACATTAATTAGTTTATTAAATAGTAATTAAGTGACCTATATATATATATATATATATATATATATATATATATATATATATATATATATATATATATATATATATATATATATATATATATATTTTTTTTTTTTTTTTTTTATTAAAAAACGTTAATCTTTTTATTGAGGTATAATACATATATTTATTTTTTTTATTTGAAATTCCCGATAAAGTTTTCTGATAAATCTCATTTTTGTTTCAAGAGATTCATTTTTCTAGATAATCATTAGTATTATTATAATATTAAATACTGTCGTAAAATAAAATAGAAAGTGACTCGAACGTATAGATTAGATAGGTGGAAAAATATGGTAATTAATTGTTTTAACTTAATATGTTATTTCGTCTATATTTTTTTTACTTTCACTTCCTTACATATATACAAATTTTTACTGTAAGTAGGGTGGTATATGAAAGTTGTGTAATGTCCACACACCACCAGATTTTTCGCATAGAGTATGAAATATATACCAAGTAAAATATAGTTCAAAACTGACTGAGTGACAATATTTTAGCACACTTCCACTACTTTTTATATATAAATATTTCTAAATTTATAAAACCAGTTTTGAGATATTATTTTTTTAAACTGATATTACGACTTAACACAACTCTTACATGGCTACTGCTAAACAATAATGACGAGTTGATACATGATCTTCCGTTTTCATTACTTTTTTTTTTCCAAATCCATTACCCGCAAAAGCTTTCCGCATCGCTTCCATCCCATCTATTCAACAAAACGGACGTCCGGCTCTCGTGCAATGCAGCACTTCTATCCGTATTACTTGTAGAATTTTCTGGATCCCTCCTCTTTAGTAAGTGACTTCTATAATTCATTATATTTAAATACATAAAACTATTACATAATCAATGTTTTCAGCTTCAGGTTATATCATCAGGTTATATCATTTCATTGGTTTAGGTTCAAAACGTCAATTAAAAAAATATCAAAACGACGATTCGTCTTCTAAACTTGAGACCTTATTCGATAAAATTTATTAGATCATTTTTAATTTTTTAAATAATTAAATTTAAACAAATCATCAATAATATTGAAATAAAGAAGTAAATAAGTTTTAGATATTATAACTTTATTTGTAATTTTTCTTATAATTCATGACATACCTATATTTAGGATATATTAGTGCTGTGTCTGTACCCAGTTATTTTCTGAAACTAAGCTATGTTTTGTGATACTTTGCAATACACATGAATATTTCCACAATTTAATTATTATAACAGGAACATATTTTACTGTTAAATATTTATTGAATGATAGAGAAAATCATGAACATCCTTTTTTATATTTGTGTTTTTTTTCTATGAGAAAACCAGTATAATATTAGACGAAAAATCTTATGAAGGTTTTTTTAACCTGAGAAACTTTGGTTACTTAAGAGGATGAACTCATTGCTTCACTGGGTAGAAGAAAACATTTTCTTTCTATTAAGACAGTGAAAAAATGATTACTTAGTTAAAAATAAAAAGTGGTTTTACTATATAAAATAATAAGAGTATGCTAAATTATTTTATTTTTACCCTTATAACATTAATAGTCATAAATTCTATGTATTATGTCTCATTTTCACATTACTGATGTTATAAAAAAAGAATTGTCAATTATCACTCCAGTTCATCCAATTTGCACTAAAATTTAAAATCTTAAATGTGGGTTTTATTAGTAAGTGTTGTTATTTCAAAAGGATTATTATTGGTCTTATTCAAAAATTATCATAATGTATATTTTCATTTTACGTTTTGCAGAGTTATCATAATAAAAATTGATTAAATAAAAAAATACTTACATTATTTTTGTATTCTTTAAGGTTTTGTATACAATTAAAATGTATTAATTATTTGAAAGAATATTTAACAAGATAATTTTTGGAGTAATAAAAATATCAATTTTTCTTTATTGATTTTAATGTTTTTGCAAGTTTGATTTAAAATGACAACAGTATTTTTATATTTAGATGGCTAATATGGCAAAAATTGGGGTTGAATATATATAAAGAAAAAATTGTCATTCCTTCTATAGTTTTTCAAATATCACATTATGTTTTCATCTTAATCTTTCCTAAAATTCTAGGAAATCATAGTTTCTCAGGAAATTTTACTCAGTTGACTTGTCCTTTAGACAAATTGAAAGTAAAAATAATATAAAAATGTTATCTACAGAATATCAAATTTTTCCTAATTGTTGGCACCTTGGATCAAAACGATCTGTAGTCAATATTAAACTGGATAGATTATCCTTTTAATGAATTTTATATAGTCCAATTTATAGTGGTTTTTTGTCACTTTAATGTTTTGTTTCAATATAAAATTTAATATTTATACATTAACCGATGTTTACATTAAACATGATTTATTTTTTACGCAGGTTATTGCTGCTGAAGGTGAACAAAAAGCAAGTCGTGCTCTTCGAGAAGCTTCTGAAGTTATTGGAGATTCACCTGCTGCTCTTCAGCTAAGATATCTGCAGGTATATGAAATATTGTACCATGAGTTTACAAATTGTATAGAAACATACATTTTCAACTTTTTTCTTTGTCAAATCAAGATTAGATACCTTAGATACCAGAGTGGTAATCAGCTCCATTGAAGAGAGTGACACTATTAAATACCTTAGTTGTTAGTTATCAGGGGAGATAGAGTTTGATGATAGTTCTGTGGCTAAAATAACTAGAAATATAGAAAAATTGTTGAGTTTGAATCGTCTTAAGCCAGAAAATAAATTAATATTTTCAATGGATATATCTTTCTTTCACTAATATACCCACTGATAATATATGCACCATGGAGATATAGGAGCTTGGATCTTTTGCGGTGTCAATGGGAGGCTCCTCGTCAGCACTAGTCCATTTCCCATAAGTTGGCCAATCTAACAGAGGCCTGTTTCAGGGGATTTTTGTTTTCTGGCATGATGTAAGAATGTGTGATGATCCATTAGGAATTGAAGCAAACAATATGGAACCATCGCTAACAGTTAGGAAGGTAAGACAGTCTCTGAGAGAAAAGTCCTTTGATGAGTGGAACAATTATAAGTGGCAGGGAATTGGTGTGTCCCATTTAAAATCTAATCCATGGACCGAAAAATTTATTTATGATAGAAAATTTCTCATCTCCTCAGAATGGACAAATTTAATGTAATTAAACATTAATTACACTCCTCTCTTTGCAGCATCAAGGGCAGGAAGCCACGTTAACAGAGATGTTCGACACCTCTGCATCAAAGGTGATTGAGAGTCAGAAATCTCAGCTCATGTGTTGGGCAATTACAGTATAACATGCTCCTTGTCACCTGCTGGCATCACAATATAAAGCATCGTATAGCCGAATTCCTTGAAATGAGGAACTATAAATGTTCCCTCGAAGTTTATTGCCTGGATACTGAATGCTCAACAAGGTTCAGTGACATTTTGGCCTTCAATACAATGAAAAAAGAGGCACTCATAATCGATCCCATGATCAGATTTTAAACCAAAGATCAAGATCAGGACTTCAAGGTACAGGCAGAGAAAGAGGAAATTTTTACGAAATGCATACCTTACCTGAAGGAAATGTATAAAGTTGAATTCAACAAGAAAAAATTCTCAGCTAAAGGCTTGTGGTTCAGAAGCAGGGGAAGCATCCCTATTTATACAAGTAATTTCTTGCAGATGCTCGGTGTTGGAAGGGAGCAGATGCTGACCATGACAGAAACTATTATTTTAGACTCATTAGGAATCTTCCATCACCACATATATTGCCCTAGGCGATTGTTTATTTGATTCTATAAACTGTTCATAGCATGTGATATGTAATCCAATGGTCCAACCTAAATCTCTTATATTTTATTATAGTATTATCTATTGACTGATGAGTGTGCTCTGTTATTTAGTAACTCAACATAGTTGAGGAACCTTGCAATTTTGTTGTATTTCTCTCATTTAACTGATGAATCAATCTTGTAATCTTACTCATTTTATTAATACAGAGAACAGTTGTATATTTAGTGAAATTTTTTCTAAATCTACTAATTTTTTGGTCACGAGAGTTATCGTTTTTAATAGTTAATATTCTTTTTTTTATATTACTATGTTAATTATAATTATACCTTAAGCAACTCTTCTTCAATCATCTTTCAAAACAGACTATTTCTGTCTGATAAGTTCACATTATATTCATATTTTTCCGAGGTGAGAGATATATTTATAGCTATGAAAAAGATTCTCATAAACAATATTTTATGATCACATAAGACTTAATAGATCATTTTCTTTTTTATTTGCATCCGTTATTTCATCTCATATTTATTCATGTCTAAAATCATATGAAGCTTTATTTCCATAGACCTTTTTGTAAAATAAAAGTTTGTTTTATTTGTAAAAAAAAAAAAATGTATAGTGAGGTGATCAATTCATATTTCTATTTATTAAGTACCTTTGTGAGTGTTTTTAATGAAGTAGAAAATTTATATAACAAAAGGAGAGTAGAAGTTGAAGTCTTTCATAAAGTAAAAAAAATATTCATCAGAAAACCGAATATAAATTTTTTTTGCATTCTGAATGTTCATAGAATTTCTCTCTTGGACAGTTTTATGGTGACATTATTTGAATACTATTACTTTAACTTACAACAATTACAGAAAATCATTGTAAACAATTACGAATTTTAAGAAATATTAGGAAGTTTTATCTTTCATTATTTGTTCTGATATAACTACAAAAAGTTTATTAACATTTGTAGCTGTAGTAATAAATTACCTTCATGACAATATTATGATTCAAGAAATAGCTTTCTTCCGGGCAAAAGCCTCCTTCCCAAAAAATGATAAAATATAACCATGTTTTATGAAAAAAATTATCTCTAAAAGTATTGTTGTTCGTCTAATTACAGTTAATAGTACTTCAAGGATCACTTAAACACCATTTCATATAGGTAGTTAGTTTCTTTCTTTCTTCTGAAGTAATTATCCCAACATATTTATATTACAAAAAAAAATCTTTGAGGCTGAAGCATCCCCCACCTCCTAAAATTAAATCCTGGATCCATTGGTGCTATTTTGAACTAATTTCAATAATTTAAAAAAGGTTCTCAGTGATTTATTCACTAGTGCCTCTATGGCTGAGGAGGAAACATTTGTTGAAGCAGTTCTCTGAAACAACTAAGCAGAAGCAGAAGCAGAAGTTGTTTAGTAATTATGATCAGTTTTTAAAAAAATATCACAAAAGTATTACATTTTTATGTATCATTTCACTTCATGATCTTTTGGTAAATAAATTCTTCCCTAGTTGAAATTCAAATATGTTGTTTTAACAACTTGATCACTTCCTTCTATCCATTTTTCTATCAAAATTGAAGCTTAATTTGTTAAAACAAACTTTAGCTTTATTTAAATTTAATGATGCCAGTATTGTATCATTAATTAGCTTCTATAAAATACCAATACCAAAGATTCTAATTTAATTCATATTTTTTTCAGACACTCAATACCATTTCTGCTGAAAAGAATTCAACTATTGTATTCCCGCTCCCGATTGATATGCTAACATACTTCATGAAAGCAAGAGAAGCATTTTAGTCAGGTGGGCTGGCAACATTCTACTTGTCAGTGTTTCACTTTTATAGTCAGGAAATTATCTTATTTTCACAATTACATTTAAATTTTAAAAATTTATATTATTTAACTTAATAAATATATTTCTATTTTATATGGATTATACTTACGTTTAAGGGATTTCATTCTTGACTTGCACTGAATTAAACACATTTTTATTATTAAAATTTAAAATTATTAATTATTTAATATTATTGTTAAAAGTCATATTATTATTAATATGTTTTATAACAGAAAAAGATACACTCAGCAGTTTTTTCTATATACTATAACACAATTGAATTTAATGTAAAGTAAATGATGTGAAATAGTTATTAATAAGTGAAAATATTTTTTACTTATAAATTTTATAATACACTGTTTATATTTATATAGTTGTTAAAAATTATGATTTTGTTCAAGAATTAATTTCACCTAGCTATAAATTCTTTCCAAAATATGTATTTTGCCATTTGATAGGATTGTATCATACTACTTTTTTGCATTACCTTTATGCACATTATATATTACAGTTAATTGTTGTCCCTATTATTAATGTAGTCAACAAGGAATGAAGAGAAGAATAGTCAATTTTTATTTGTTGAATAGTCATGCAATGGTGTGTTCTGGATGAGATTAATGATAAGGCTGATATTTATGAGCCACCTTATTTTAGTTGATGCCTAGCACAAACTGATTATTTTTTTTAATTTAAATTAAATATTTTTGGCTGTTAAAATCACTACTAATAATAATATAAAGATATTTTAAACAGGAAATATAGAAAAGTTAAAATTGGTCCATATTTTAATTTATATATTAAATTATGTTTATATTACTTACCATTGATTAAATCTTGAAGTTGATGGTTGAGAGCAGAGCAAAAAAAAAAACATTAAAAATGTTTAATGTTTGTCACTATTTTCTACATGCAGCTTAAAATACAACTTCCAAAATTATTAAAAATATATTATAAAATTCAAAAGTTAACACTATTGCCAAGATTTCTATTAATCATTCATAATAAACCAAAAAAGAAAAAAATTATAAAAATAATTAAAGGATATAGGAAATATTTTCTGAAATCACTTCTTGATGACTCCCTACAATATTTTGAAGGGAAAAAATCTAACCTACTTAAACAATATTTTTTAAATTACATTTTTACACCTTTGATTGTATCTCAATTACTTACTTAAATACCTATATATATATATATATATATATATATATATATATATATATATATATATATATATATGAAGAATTATCACTTATAAACTTTAATTGCTTTAGCATATCTTGGGTCTTTTACCGGTACTTTTCGTCTAAGGGGCCGCTACTGACTGCTATCTGCCAATGTTTATAACCTGAACACTGATAACTCCCATAAAGCACTGATAAGCCTTCTTTTACTTCATATCTTCGTATTATTGTATTAAATTCGTATTATTGAAAGTGTAAACAGATACAAAAAACAAATTTAATAACAAAAAAAATACTTTTATTTGACGACACATGTATTAATGAAATAATAAAAAAAACACTTTAAGAAGATATGTACATATAAAACATCAAAATGAAATAATAAAAAACACATTTAAAAGAACATATTTACATAGAAAAGAAAAAATATAAAACGAAATCGGTTTTATAAAAAGATAAAACATTCATCTGTTTCTCCACAAACTCCACCAAACATCCACTGCTGAGATAAAACTCTCCCCACATGATTTTTTCGTTTAGAAAAAAGACTTTCTTTTACTTCAACCACTTTGCCAGGTCCTCCAATTTTTTTTCTTGGCCTGTATAACATGTCATGGGCACAAACCTCTCTTAGACATTTGTTCCACGTTACCATAGCTCTGTTGAATAGTTTCAGCTGCTCTTTGGCCCACTTCATCGTTGTCAAGCTATGGGACCATCCATAAATCAATTTTAAAGCTGTTAAAAACGAAATCCTCGAGCCCTCCAACCATGTTCCTTTCCTTATTGAAAGTTTTGTGTCATAAGTCCTACGAAAGCATCTCCATTTGGCCTTCCTGGTTGACTTCATTCGATGATCTCGATCACACGTCGATTCAAGTCGGCAAGTACCCCAACATTTTAAAAATATTGAAGTGCCTGTTCTTCTGAAGGCGTCAAATTCCATATTCTAAGAAGATCCATAATATGACGAAAAGAAACACAAGGGGCCACAAACTAAAAAAAAAGTAAAATAAATACAAACGGGCCAAAAACTAAAAATAATGAAAAATAAACACAAACGGACCAAAAGTAAACAATTTAATAAGTGAACGTAATAAGGGAATAACTGAAAACTAAACAATGCAATAACTGAAAGGGGATAAGAAGAGGGAGGTTATGTGACCTGACGTTTGATAAGATAGATAAGAGGTGAGGTTTCAGTCCGGCCTGCTAGACTAAAAGTACCCTTTTACCATTGATATATATATATATATATATATATATATATATATATATATATATATATATCAATGGTAAAAGACCCAAAATATGCTAAAGCAATTAAAGTTTATAAGTGATAATTCTTCATAATTATATTAATCATTGAGTCTACTCTTATAATATCTTCAGATTCAAATTTTGCAAGAGATGTTTGTAATATATATTAGAAGAATGATATTTTTTACTTATGATTAAATTTATAAACTATATAAAAATGAAATTCCACTCTTTAAATGTCAGCGCTAGATACCTGGTAACTTATATTTATGAAAAACATGAAATACAGTAACTCATCTGACAAAGTTCCAGGCATATGATGTAAGAATTGTGTATTATAGGAAGTTTAATTATAAATAAATCTTTATTAAGATAATTTTTACCAAATACTACTTCATAACTCTTAATTATTGACTCTTGTGTCAATCCAGATCTTGCTCCATGATAACTATCATGGTATAAGTTAAGATAACCTGATTGCTCATTGATAACTATCTTTACCTAACTTTTTTACCTAACTATCTCTCTCTTTCATTACCACTGATCATAGGCCCAGACTTTCATTTATAGTTGGGGGAGCAATGGATCTCAACAAAAAATAATCGGGAGTTATGAGATATCATATTATGAGAAAAAATTATGAGTGATAATCAACATAATTATTATAAAACAATAAGATACTATATATAAAAATAAATATATTCAAATGTTTAAATTTTTATTTTATTTTTTTAAGTGCTGATATATTTGAAATATATTAACAAAGTGATTGAATATTTTAATTTTTGTTTAGAGGTTTGAGGCAGTGAAATGAACTCCTAATTTTCTGATACTTTTAGCTGTGAGAAATGTGATAAAATCTAAACGTAAAAATAGAAGGGATGAATTTCATGAATGAATCATAAAATTCTAGAAAATGTTGCTACATATAATTATCTTTAAATATACACTAAAATTTCAATAAGAGGAACATAGGGCATAGTAGAATACTTGCGTACCTACTAGTAAACTTTTCCTATTCTCTTAATTGATTTTAGGGTTCATATTTTATTCATTCATGTTGATTAATTGTTATTGATTTTTATTTTATTTTTATTCTTCAAACATTGGGGTGAAACAATATTCTTACCTTCTTTCTCTTTTTATTGGTGGGATAGTCTTCCTCACCCCTCTGAAGTCTGCGCCTATGTCACTGATTCTGATAGGTTTAGAATTGGCGATAAACAAGAATCATAATAACCCTTCCCAACATACTGAATTAAAAATAAACGAGAAAAAGGTTTAATGAAAAAAAAAAGTACGCAGAGTGGAACTTTCCTGTATGAGTTTTAAAAAATGAATTTTCCTTTTCCTTTCTTTTTATTTCATTACTTTGAATATTTACAATCCTTTTCTACTGAATGGAAAGGTTACATTTAGAGGGAGTACTAGTGTAAATTATTAAACTAAACAAAAAAAAATAATAATAATCCTAAGATTGAACTTTTCCTAAAGAAATTTTTGAAAAAAAAGAAAAAAAATTTAAACTGAGATCAATATTTATTTACATTAAGCTAGGTATAAATATGAATATTTTAGTAAGGAAATCAACAAAATAAACTTATAATCAGAAATATTTCTTGTTAAAAATCAAGTGTTTACTTTAAAATTAAACTGTTATGACTGAAATGTGATCAGTTAAACAGGATGTAATCTTACATCAATAATTAATTTGTTTAATCAGGCTTTTTATATTTTATTCTTATATTATTTTTACACTGATAAGGATAATTTAAATCCTAATCAATAATTAGCAGAGGTTCATCATAAGAAAACAGTTTACCTCTGGCTAGGAAATATTTTGTCAAAAATCTATAAATAAATTATCTTATGAATGTTTATTCAAATTAATAAAATTATCTATTAAATTATAATTATTAAATGAAGACTCACATTTTAAAATATAATTACTGTTAAATGACTTATTTGTTGGTTGAATCTGTAAAAGTAGTATTTTATTATATATTTGTCATTGTTATTAATGCTTAAGGTAATTTTACATTAAGTAGGTACTTATTGTCAATAAGATACACATATACAGGTTCCGAGCTTTAAATTCTGTAACTTTGTAACTATTTAATGTACACTTATAGGTGTATAAATGTTTTATGAAAATAATTAGAAAACTAGTATAATACTTCAAATACTTTTTTGTTTTAACTGTATATTCACAATATGGCATTTATTTGAGAAAATTGATACACTTACATATATTACTACTTTATCATTATCAAAAATGATTATATATTATCAATTAATATTAGTATGAGAAGATTATGTAGCTAGTTTCAGTGGTATAAATATATATTATATAAGTATGTGTGTAATGGAAGTTGCACGGAGCAAGTTCACGTACGAGATATCTTGATAATTGTACAAAATATATATTAATAAGCAAATATATATATAAATCTATAATTTTAATCAGTTTATTCAATGATACTAAATGTTTCATTGTTTAAAACCTGATTTGTACATAGCTGATTTACAATTTCTGTAACTACATAAAGCTCAATTTGTATTTTGCACTGAAGTTTGAAGTTAGAATAACTGATATTATGCCAAATTTGGTATTACTTGCATCAGTCTTTCAATATGTAAGAAATGACGCATTAGTTTATCATTATTTTTTAAGAAAAATAGAAAGTTTTATGATTGTCTTGAAAATTTTTAAACAAAATTTATATTAGTTGTGAGACTACTAACATATAAGTAACTAACCTTTTATTATCATAGAATATGATTAAACACTTTGTGTTGGGCAAAGTAAGTTAATCTAATTTGATCATCGATCTCAACTAACTTAATTTTATGTTTATTTAATTATTTATCTTATAATTATCTTTTATTTAATTATTTACATTTATTTATTAATAAAACATGTTATATGGTTTAGTTAAAAAATTGCTGGATTGTTAATTTTTTTTTTTTTTTAAATGGATGTTTTTACATACATAGTATATCATAGAAGCCAATTTTACAATAAGTCCAGCAAATTAATAAGTATAACTGAGCAGCTTTTATTTTTATAAAAAATAAAATATTACTTGGTGAAAAAAACAAATATTTTATTTATTCAGGTGAAACATAAGGATTCACCGAATAAATTCAAATAAATATTTATTAAAAATATCACAATTAAATCAATACACTTTACACTCTCAAGTCAATATATTTTATATTATATTTCTGAGCACAATCCAGATTATACAATAATATACATTGAATTTATAAATATATTGATGTACCTACTACACACTTCTATTTTATTTTCCAATTTCAGAACACTTTATTCCATTATGATTCATATGTAACAATTGAATAATATCATAGACTAAAGATAAAAGTAACCAAAAGGTATATTACATGCATACTCATTTATTATTAGCAAATTTAGACATAAAATAACTTTTATAAATATATGTGTGGTCGAAACTGAATTTAGATTCCCATCATTAAATATAAACATTTAGATTTCTTATCCTGATAACTTAAAATTAATTAAAGAATGCATTAAATTGTGACATTAATAAGTTTTAATTAAGTATTGGTGTTTGTGTATAAACTTCTGATTATTCTCAGTAAGATTAATAAAAATGAAATTAATAAATAAATCATTCAAATTATTTTAAATTGGTAGGAGAGGCTATGTTTAATATTTACTAACTTTTAGATGTTGCTTCCATCATAATAGTGTGTATTGCTTTAAAAATAAACAAAATAGTGTATGATATCTAGATTTGTGATTTTCTCACCTTTGGCTATGTTAAACTTCTGATTTTAAGCTAAAGAAAAAAAGATTATTCTAGTAAAATAATATTGATCCCTTGTTAAATTCTTCTATACAACACTTTTACACATAATTTTAATCTTGAAGAATACTACATAATTTTTAACATAAAATTACTAATGCTATTAGTATGATTTGCTTTACAACCCATGTCATGTATTAGAATGTCTAAAAAGAAGAACATTTATTATATAAATGATGGAACTTAGAGGATGTTTCTAAATGTATATGAAGGTGAGAAAAATATACTATGAAATGTCATAAGCTATGTGTTTGTTTTAAAATAAATATAGAGAATTGAGGGGAAGAAATTAATGAAATAACTGTGGCAAGCTAAAAGTTATTTAATTTTGTTTCATATTTTTACTTTCTTACTGAAACAGAAATGTTACAAATTGTATTTTATATTCTTAGAAATTAATTATTTGTTTATTTTAGTTATATTAAGAATGGGGGACCAACCAATCTGGTGTCTACTACTGCAACAACTGGAATTGATATTTTCAATTAAAAAATAAATAAAAAATTCCTAATTGGAAAGTTTCAAAATTTACTGTTTTTGTTAATAAATAAAGTAAATCCTGGAAAATTCATTATTAAAAAAAAAAATGTAGAAGTCGGAATTTCTTTCTTGTTTATCTAAAAATAAAATTAAATTGTAATATATTATTTATTTATATAATGTATAATATTTGTCAGTGTATTAGGAAATTATAATTATTTATAACAGAATGTTATGAATGATTAAATTTTGAAAATTAACAAACAGAATATTAAATCATAACTTTTTTTAGAATTTTGTGCACTTTATCTTAATGTTTTAACCATTCAGAAAGGCAAGAGAAGAAATTGTTTTAAAAAAAATTAAGAAATTATATAAAAATTTTCAATCATCAGTATTGTATAAATCTTTGAAGAAACTTCCTGAATGCCTTTTCTTGATGGAATAAATGATATTATACCTATATTGTTAAAAATTATCTGGTTCTTGTGAAAAAAGAACTGTTTATCTTTATGTAATAGTTATGCCAAAAGTTTATAGTCATGCAACATTAATATAGAAAAAGAATTACTTTTTCTTTTTTTGAACTAATATTCATCATAAGTTTTAAAAAACAATGAAGAATACAAAAATTTAAATCTAATAATTAATATTATTTTACAATTTCTTATTTGACAAATTATTATATTACTGTGGTGGATAAACTTAATTTTAATTACAAAGTTAAAATTTATTGACAAGCAAATAACTATTGAAATGTATACTAAATTGTGAGTAATAACAATAATTTATTTGTCTACGAAACATTATTGATATATTTAATTAACTATGATTATTCTGCCTATAATTTAATCTTAAATGATCTTTAAAACATGAATAAAAATTATTTTCAATTTTTTTTTTACATAAAGATATAAACAATTATTGTTATAATTAATGATATAGTAACATATAAATAAGTTAATATATCATGATTTACTTTCCAAATAATTTTTATTTTCCCCATAGCCAGGGGTGCCCACAAGGGGAAGGTATGGCCCAAATTATACCATCAAAATATTTGAAAGGAAATATTTGTACGGAGTTTTGAGAGCAGCATGATTCAAGGGGTTAGTGAATTTCGGAGGGAACTATATTTTTGTGGGTTTTTCAATGTTGTATAACTTTAAAACTATGAAAATGGAAAATACTATAGCAAGTGTAATTTTGTACATACTACAATTTTCCATAATTATGATAATTTTAACTAAGGAAATGAATTTTTTAAAAATAGGGGAAGAGTGTTAGTTATACTTCTTTTGAGGACTGATCTTGGGAGGACTGGGCATCCCCATCCATAGCATCCAATTTTAAACAATACTTCTAGTATCATTTCGGTTTTTAATTTGAAATTTCAATAATAAAAATTACTATCAAACTTATGACAAACTTTTTTCACAATTAAGGAACCTGAAAATTTTAATTATGAAATGGATAAATATTCTTGTAAATGTTGTGATGTGTGTTCTTAAAAATAAATAAAAATAAAATAAAATTGGTTTTCTTTCTTAAATTTTCCCTGAATAACCTTTATCTATAACTTATTACTGAAAAAGTTTTCATCATTTGTAACTTGATGAAAAAAGCGAAATATGTAACTTGTGGCTACTTGGATAAAAAAAAAGTTTTAAATTAAACCTAGGTATCTAATAAAAAGGAAAATTATAAAAAGTTAAATCAAATTTGATGAGCCTAAACTGACACTATCTGTAAATGTTTCACATATTTTCAAGTATCATTAAAAAAAATTCATTCTAAATGAAAAGACTTCTACCTATTAATGAATTAAGCACATATCTCAAAAGAATGAGTTGAAACATTTTTACAGTTGCAGAAAATATAGCTTAAATCTCTGGTAACTGAAAGTAATTGTCATATTAGTAAAGATCAATATCATTTTCCATAGCGAGTGTATGGTATAACGTGTGTAAGATATCTCAAGCTTTGTTGAGAGGATTCTGTATCTATGGGATCTAGAAAACTGCTTGGTTTAAGAAATTGGAAGCCACTGATGTATAATAGAGCGAGTCCTCTTTTGCTAGTCAGCAGTTCTTGTTGGAGTTGGTTTATGATTCATCAATTGGGTCATGATGCCAGTTAAAAAAATTTAAACTTAACTAACCCTACACTGTGATCAGATACTCCATCCTAAAACTGTAGTTTGCATGAGAAGATCAACATTTTTACTAGCGAATAACATGTTTTTTATGAATACATTACTTAGCCTAATAACAGATAACATTAGGTTAATTTACTTTCAATTAAGTACCAACCAGGATAAGCAAAAACAGTTATAGATTCAAACAAATATAGCTACTATCATCTTTCTTGTGCAAAAATTAGGCATTTTAAGATTTAAAACGATGACTGGTTTCATTAAATTAAATATAAATAAAATATAAATATTAAATATTAAATATAAATAAAAAACTTAATATAAATTCCATTTTTTAAAATTGTTAAAGTTGGAAAGTAATGTATCGGAAACTTATAGTTAGAATAAAGAAATCAGGAATATAATGTTGTTTATCAACTTTTTAAAGAAAGAAAATTAGATAATAAAATACTTTATTATTTTAATAATCCATAACATATATACATAAATAAAAACAAATACAAAATACTCAGTAGTTTGCTTTACTAGAGTATTATTCCCTGAGGATTAAAAATCTTGCATATTTATATTAAGGGTACTCCATATACATAATAAAAAAATCACAACTTTTGTCTCTCTTATCCATTTCTTATATACATAAAATAAGGCATGATATTTATATATTGTTATATCATAATCACCATTATCAACAATGTTAATGGATATTGTTTTATTTCATAGTCAATTCAAATATTTTCATAGCTTAGACTTTTAAAACAAAAAACTAAAAACATAACATTAAATCTAAATGTTATCATATTTATTATGTATCTAGATGCTAGGGTTGAAATTTGCTTCAAAATTGATTAGCCACTTTTTTGTTTCAGTGTATCCTGTCATTTTAATTTATATTGGTAAAGTCAAATTATTTGTCAAGCATCTTTATCAAAAAGTTAATATGAAAGGAGATGAAATCAATATTTTGCTGTTCACAAGCCTTTTAAAAAATAATTCATTAATAAATGACTAGGATTAATAGTTTAATAGAAATAAGATACTTTTGATTACAGCTAGTAACGTGAGCATTAGTTCATTCTTGTTGTACAAGGCTGTTGAACATAATTCAAGCAAAAACCTGTATTCCCGACATCATTTGGAGCTTCAACATTGTCAGTATGTACGACAATCCTAAATGGCTTTACTGTACCTAAACAAAGAAGGTGAAAATTAATAGCTTTTCTGAAATATATTTTCAAAACATATGGTCAAATAGTGCACAACACGCCTGAATAGGACACAGTGCATTAAGTATGCTTTAAATAAAATGAAAGCTAAATTACTATAAACTGTAGCTGCTGTAGTTGAAACTTCACTGCTAAAAGTTCCTCCACAAATTCTATCAACACACGTTGGTGCAGAAGTTGGTGGACGACCAACATTAGTAGCACATGGTATAATAATCCAGTCACTTGCACATGAACTTGGCCCTATACCTCCTACCATCGATGTTACAGGATTTTGACCACTTGTGTCTCCACTCAGAGCGAAAGCATGAGAACGGTTGTTTGCTAAATAAAGAAAAATATGAAAACAGGTATTTTTTTAAAGATATAATGATACTATCATTACCCATAACTTACTGAGGTCAGAGCATGCTGTGTATTGTATGCCACAGAAATTTCTTTCTACCCTTATACAGGCACTATAATCCTGGTTTGAAAGTTGAAGTCCACTCACTGGATCGTAATTGAATGATTTAACCTGACCAGAAACTCCAGTAAAGTATTGAAGACATCCTTCTTCAGCTGAAAACAAAGCTCTACTTAATGAATAGGGGCTAGGGATGTTGAAAAATATCTAATTATGATATTTTTAAAAATTACATCAATATTTTTAAAAATATAGGTATATCGATATTTTTAAAATTAATATATCAATATTGAAATTGGATTATTTATAACCAATATATTATATATATATATATATATATATATATATATATAATATATATATATATTATATATATATAATATATATATATATAATATATATTTAAAAAATAAAATAAAAATGAATACAAGGATAGCCACCTCATTAAGAAGCACATAAAAATGAGATTATTTAAACACAACACCAGAAAATTGTTGGTATGATTATTTTTTTTAACTTTCAATATTTATTCTTTTTGCTTCCTCACTACTGAAGGTAGGGAAGCACTGTGTTCTTGAGAGAGGTTTAAAAAAAAATTTGTCCACAGAATAAAAAATTTCTGTTTTTATGTTCCAGACATCAAGGATCAAATTTGGATCGGTGTCTGTCTGTCTGTAGTCAAATCAATCTGACGAGCATATCACCTAGTACCATTCATTCGATTTTCAGGGATTATAAGGATTGGTGCCTAGATGGTCCCCTATCAATTTTATCAAATTTCATCCAGCACTTCCGCTTACGCACGTGCAAACACATTTTTTTTTTAGATATGCCCATATTTCAGAAAGGGCTTGTTTGATTTGGCTCAAAGTTGGATAAAATGTAGATATTGGTGAAAAAATAATGTAGTATTAATTTTATTGAATTCTGTCCACTACTTTCTCTTATATATAGACTACTATACTACGCGCGTTGCTAAACGAATCTACCGATTTCAATGAAACTTCGATAAAGTCATTTTCTCAACACCCTTTAAATTTATAACATACTTCAACAAAAAGAAGGTGGAAAAAAGTTAGGAGGGATGGTAAAATTAAATTACGAATAACTCAAAAAGTATACACGTTTTGTTGATATTGTGATAAGATGTTTCAAAGGTATTAAAATTTCCTAAAAATTTTGTTTATAAGATAAATGTATATTCTTTTTATAGGTTTCAATTATAATTAATTCAATTTTAATTTTCTTCATTTCTTTATGGTATGCTATTTAATTCATTATAGGTACTGAATTTCTTTAGAATAAATCTTTTTAAGTAAATGTTAACAAATTTCTTTTAATTTGATGTCATATAATATTTCTGTTTATATTTCATTAGGTCAATAGTACACCAATAACGTTTTTATTTCCAATCCTTATTTTGGAATGGCAACGTTTTCATGTCTGTCATGTCCTAGTTTTCTGCATTTCTTATGTGAAAAAAAAGGGTCTTCATATAACAACTTAGCTTTCATAATTGTCTTACCTTTTTATGTCAGCTTCCATATTATTAGTTCAATTGTTGTCTCAGTAACAATTGAACTGATAATATGAGAGTTTAAGCTGATAATTATCGTATTTTTTTCCCTAGTTTTTAAAAACCAATGAACACAATAAATAAATAAATATGTATATCCACCCTTTTCTCCATCTATATAAATGACCTCCCATCCTCTATCCTGCACTGTCATTACCACCTGTATGCCGACGACATTCAAATTTACCTCTCCTTTAATCCGACAGATATCTCAGATGCCACTCAAAAACTTCAGGAAGACATTGACAGAATAAGTGCTTGGGCAAACCTCAATAGGCTCACTCTGAACGCCGAGAAGACAAAAGCCATCTTGATCGGATCCCCTTCACTCCTCAAATCCTCCCCAGTATCTCCCAATCTCTTCCTGAACAACTCACCTATCTTATTCTACACCACCGTTAAAAACCTAGGTGTTACTTTCGATCAATCCCTATCCTGGAAACCTCACATCTCCCAAATTTCCCGTCGCACTATCTCCACCCTAAAACAGTTCAATCGTCTACGATATCTCCTTCCATATAAGTCCCGTCAACTCCTAGTTTCCTCCCTTGTTTTCCCCCACTTCGACTACGGCTGTATGGTGTACGGTGGACTCCCGGGAGATTCCGAGGCCAAACTTAAACGCCTAATGAATTGCGCACTACGATTTGTTTTCGGAATCTCAAGGGATACGCATATTACCCAGTATTACACTGAGTTGAGGTGGCTCTACCCATCCTATCGCCGTCAGTACTTCCTAGCCACCTTTCTGTACCAAATTATTAGAACCCATCGACCCTCCTACATTTTTCACAGCTTACAATTCAAATATTCCATCCAATCCCGTCCCACCAGATCTCGTACTTCCGACCTCTATCCTCCTCCTCACCGAACTGCTGCGTTTGACAAATCCTTTGCAATACAAGCCGCCTCCCTCTGGAATTCCATCCCACCTGATATTCGACACGCTCAATCAGTTTCCTCGTTTAAACCACTCCTCTTTAAGCACCTACTCCTTTCTCAATCCGAATGATTGTGAAATATATCTCAGAGAAATATCTGAGCACCACCAGAGAGTACCTCAATTTATTAAGGTTATTTTAGTTTCTCATACATATGTACAATTTACTTGTTCTTTTTTTTCTCTTTTCTGTATTTTTATCGTAAGTCAACTTTCATTGTAAATATACAATTCAATTGTAGCCACACAGACATATAATCTGTATTCATATTTTGTTCTTAAGGGACAACAGTCCCAGAATAATAAAACATTTTTTTCATTTCATTTCATTTCATTTCATATATATATATATATATATATATATATATATATAACCTGTACCACTACAACCCATGAAGGGTCTTGGGGTTCAGTACTATTTAGGGAAAGCACTGTTTCTTGGTCTATGGTTGTGTGAGGAGGTGATTTGAAGGAGATCACGCTCAGCTGCCAGGTTTTTCCCATTAATCAATTATTTTAATTAAGGGTATTCACTTTATAGAGGCTGGGTGTAGTCCAGGAGGGTCTACCTACCCAATATCCTCTCACGGCCAATGAAACAGAATAAATAATTTTTCTATAAATAATAAATAATATTCTGCAATGAACCAGGATTCGATCCTCAGGCCTTTAGCATTGAAAGCTCATTACCCTAATACTGAACTACCCCGCTCACCATATATATAAAAGTAGAAGTAAAAACATAAATTTATAAGTAATAACTCTTAAATAAATAAATTTAAAAATAATCACAATAACTTTAAAAACAATTATATTCAATTTGGAAGATCAATTAACTACTTATCTAAAAAAGTACTTTTATTGTGTCAATGATTCCCATTTCTACAATGCATACATATATTTTTTTATTATTTTTGATACCTACTGAGTCAGTGACATTGTTAACAATGGTTTGTTTTGATTGAACATAGAATTGCTAAACAAATAATCCATACTCGAAATTGGTTTTGTAAAAAATATAAGCTCCTGTCATGCTCAAATACCATGAATGGGGTACCGTTTGATTCAGAATTTCAAAGGGGGTTAGCGAATCGTATTCTCCACTTTTATTTTTCTTTCTAAAATAAATAAAGTTGATACAAACATTTGCTAGGCTTCAATGGTGGTAGGTCTGTAGATCGACCTTGAAGATTTTGATCGGATTCTGCATTTTGAAGCCCAAAAACATACTATTTTTGAGATAATGCAAGGCATATGGTTTGCATTCACCCAACCTTACTTTAATTGTAGTATTGTCATTGAATACATGTCTCATTTCGTCGACTTAAGGCCACTATGATCGAGAGAGGAGGAGTTTATATTATTTATCGATGGTGTTTTTGATCAGCAAGCCATATCATCATTAATTCTACACCAAATCTCAAGATTGATTCACCAATTTTGAAGGCTTCCTACTCCTTCAGATGTGCAAAATAGTCTAATCACTCCGAAAATTCAGGCAAACAAGTTATGAAAAAAGGAAGAACTTTATTTGCGAATAATTTAAACTTTACACTTTTCCCTTGGTTATGTCCATGATTATATAAAAGATTACTAAATTCCCTACAAAAGGAAAAAAAAAAAATCATTGAAATCGGACATTTTTCAGCAGAGATATAGCTTATTGAAATTTGTAAACATGTTGGTTCCAAACATTAATGAAGATTTAAATTAATTTTTGTTTCCTTTGTTGATTATATTTATCGATAAAATAAAAATTGATTTCTTTATCTTTTGACACGTTTCATTACTTTCTTTTCATATTAATTTGGCATTTGATAATAATATGCTCTGCGAATTTTTCGCAAGGGCCTATATATAAATATTGCTTTTAAATGAAAAGTCTCAAAAAGTAGAAATGCAATTTATAATTGAAAATCTTTATTTTTTATAAAACGGTGTATTAAATTGATTTCTTAGATGCTTATCTAGGAACCACAAATAAGTCAAATTATCAGTATTTAAACCAAATTATAATATTAAAATTAATAAAAAAAATGACTTTTACAAAAGATAAATAATAGATAAAGATTATATATTAAAAGTTTATGGAGTTTTCCTCCCTCTCAAGTACCTAAATAATTTTACCTCTATAAATAGAGTTGCAAGGAATTTGTGATATTTTCATCTTCCACATCCTTCCAAAAGAAGGACCACTTGTGACTACTGTTAAAGTAATTGGGCTGTTATTACCAGATCCTGCATTCACATACACTGTAAAAAAGCAACAAAAAAAAAACATGAATTTTAGAAGTAAAACATAAACATATGGTATAGAAAATTTATTTCCTTAAAGAACATCCTTACATAAATGATAAATGTTTATTGTTTGATGGGAATTTTAACAGATAAGTGTAAGTATGGCTCAGCATACTTGATTAACTACTTGAAGAAATCATTTAACAAGATTTGAATAATAGTGGCATGTATGTATGTATATATATATACAAACATACATGCACTATATTAGATCTATATAATATATATATATATATATATATACATATATATGCATACATACATACATGCCACTATTATTCAAATCTCTATAAATATATATATATTAAACATATATCAGTATACATTCGCAAAACACACATTTTTTGAACAAAAATCAAACCTTACAATACTATCATCATAACCCCTTCAAATATTATAATATTATAAGAAATAAATATCATCATTAATTTAATTCATTTATTTTCTATAGTTTTTCCATTTGTTTGCATTAATCATTAGTAGTTTATATTTATGAGTTTTAAGAAATTAAAAGAAAAATGATAAAAATTATCCAAAATGCCACCAATCTTTTTAATGACTTTTTGTTGGAAATATATATTCATGAATTTTGAGGACAAATAATGTTGACCGCCATTTTTTTTATTCAGAATGAATAAAACATTATAAAAGATAAATACGTTAATGACCTATTTAATTAAGGATCTAGGCTTGATTGTTTGATTAAAATATGATTATATTAAAATTAAGTCTAGATCCTTTATTGAATAGGTCATTAATGTATTTATTTTTTATAATGTTTTATTCATTCTGATCTGATCTGATTAATCATTTTCAACCTTAACTAGTCTTGTGGTGAGGGGAGTATGGAAATAAAATTATATCTATATGAGATTTTTTTAAATTATTATTTTTGTTTTGAGTTTCAAAATAGTCATGTTCTAGGGCTTAAATTCAAGATAAGTTGGTAAGTGGAACTGAATGGTTAATCAAAACAATCAATAAATTATCACCATTATTTTCTCAATATTATACTACAATTTAACAGAATCAACTATTAATTATTTAACTAACCTAGCTTAAATATCCTCCTCCTTTTATATAACCATCAGGGTTTTAATCGAATTTTTAAAAATTGTATTTGGGCAACTTAAATGACATTAGATTTTACTTGCCTTGATTCATGAAAATACTACCAAGGGAAAATCAATTCTAAGATACATTTTTTTTTTTTTCAATTTGTGAATTGAGTGAATACAAAGTCTTATTTTTTTCTTGATTTTTATTCATTTAGTTACAAAGAATGCATTAATATCTTTTAAAAAACAAAACAATAGTTATTTGGAGAACTTACTGTGATTTCCACTATTGACACCACAAATACCTGGAATAGGATTGCCTCCAGAGACAATAAACTGATCATTGTTACAGACATTATTGACTGGTTCAGGTGCAGCAAGAACAAATTTATCAAAATCAATTCTAAAACAAAAAAATATATTCGCCAGTAATTAAATGAGATAATATGATTGACAGTTACTTATCAATGAAATATAATATATTATTCAAACTACATGTCAGAATTTATATAGGGATTTAGTAAATCTAATACCAAATCAGTACTTCTTAAATAATGTTTTGCTTGTTTAGTTCATGATTTGAAATAGAAAAATAACAATAATAATAATGTCTATTTTCACTTTACAATTCATGCCTCCCAGGTCAGAAATTTCTGATTCTTGGAGGCATAAACTGTGAAATGAAATTAGACATTATAATATAAAGGTCAAACCTTTTAAAAACCATGGAAAATAGTAATAATAATTATACAGGATTATTTTGTAACAATAATGCTTAATTCAATTATCGGAGGGAGTTTATATTATATGAAGTTATTTATAATCGCCATTCTGGACCATATCTTTTCTCAATATTATTTTTGAGTAACCAGTAGTCATATATTTTTCATCACTCACCATCACCTTCTACGACTTTGTATGTTACTGGTACTGGTACTAGTGGAGGAAAGTAGTCCGGTAAGTGGGCCACATGATCCTTTTTTTCAATCACTGATGGCTACCTTAAGTTTGCTGCCGCATACTTACAAGAGTGAGAATGTCAAGATTCATTTGCTGAGGCTGCCAAGAAATGAAAATTAACCGACCCAGCTCAGAATCGAACCCACAATGTTCAGAATGTGGCACTCTGGGCCCTACTCAGCTTGTATAATGTATAAAAATTCGTCATTTAATTTAATTTAAGCCCTGTGACACTATTTCACTGAAGATTTTATTTAATATAAGACTTAGTTAATTGGACTCAGGGGACCTTTAAACATGTATTTCTGTTGAAAGCTCAGATTCAAAATTTTCATTATTGCAATGCTTTCTCTTACTATATATTTCATATACAGAAAGATGAAAATAAAAATTTAAAAGTTTATTTAGAATCAGATAATGGTATTATATATAATCCTATAATTCATATTTAAGGTATGTATCAGATGCCACATTAGTAAATAGACAAAACTACTCTACTTAACCAATCTAAATCATAATATTGACCCCTAAAAAACAAAAAAGCATAAATTAGCAAATAGTATCATCTTTTTATCGAAATTATGTTATGTTTATTTCTATATCTACATCAGAAATGCTTTCTACAAAAAAATAAAATAAATAAAAATAAAAAAAACATATCTTTACAACTATAAAATACTGAATACCTGAAGATATTGAACTATTGAATTTTTTTTAATCTATACCTATACTGACAGACTTCAGGATGAGCTTTGTGGATAGTCAACTGACATGAACCAGTCCCATCGAAAGCAGATGGGTATCCCGGATTCACAAAATAGGTCGCATTTTGTTGAGTAGATTGTCCACAAGTTGCCATAACTGGAAAAGAGATGATAATATGAATACATAATGAGAGAGTATAATATATGTATTTATCATTATTGTTACATAAATATATTTTTATTTGTCATCCATTACCTTAAACAAAATAAATCAGATAGCTAAATCATTGTAATAAACCTAGTTATTGTATTAAACCAAAGTGAAGTCAAGAAATAGTTCTTGATATTATATTAAAACTTACACAGACAACAGACTCCAAATGTTCTGGCACAAGGCCCACTTGGGACTCCTCCTGTGCGAATACATTCTGATTCAGTTGTACATGTGCCATTGTCTCCAGAACTTGCCAAACAGCCATCTTTCCCAAATTGCACGATTGTAAATATTGGAAGAACTATAACGTCAATGAAATAATAATTATATTAATATGAGTGATGGGAAATTTGAATATAATTGATAATGTAATAAAGAATGAATAAGCAGATTTGAATATATATATATATCAGAATGTTAGTAAAACATACAAATGGATATAGCCTATGGCTTTTTCATCATCAATTCATCCTTGTAAGCCTCCCTAATCATAGACATAGCCAGAAGTAGGGGTGACAAGGTGGGGCAGTTGCTCCCCTCCCTTCTACCACAAGAAAAATCAAAACAAAATAGCAACAAATATAAACAACAAATTTCTTAGAATAACATATGAAGTGGTGGGCTGGCTGTATGGGCTAACGAAAAAAAAAATATGGACTTTGACAGGTTGATTGTTTAAATTACAACATTTTATTATTCTTATTCTTACAATTAGTTTGTTACCTTGTTGATTACCTGGGATTCTTGAACAAAAAAAAAACTTTACCCTGTTGGAAAAAAAAACTACTTCTCCTACTCCTATAACTCTGTTATAGCACAAAACCATTTACCTGGCCAAGTATTAATTTTAGTTTCCATCCTGATAATATTAATAAAATTTATGAAAGGTGAAGAGACTATTTAAATGTCATTCTTTATATTTGCCCCAATAAAGAATACAAAAAACTACCTGAGATACCGATCCTTAATACGAGTGAGAAAGTGGATAATTATATCACTAAGTTCACAGCAGCACTGCTTGAGGCTGCAAAACTACCTATCCCCATCTACAAGCCATCACCACCACACCTAAGAACACCTCCACCACACATCCTAGTGCTGATAGAGAGTCGCCACAGTCTGAAAACAAACAGTAGCGCTCCAGAGACCCGAATGTCAAGGCATCACTCAATGCGATCACCACCCAAATAAAAAATCTTCTGAAATAATGGAAGATCTGACACGATCAATTACAGGCCACTCACAGATACATCAGGAAATTTTGGAAGTTAACTAAAAGGCAGTCAAAGGTAGTTAAAATCAACTATCTGACTGCATGACAGCAACAGACTCTTTTGTGTTTGCTAGTCCTAAACAGCTAAAGACCATTCTAGGGAGATGAAAAGGAAAACGTGCACTGGGACATGAAGATGTCCAAACAATTCTGCTAAAACAACTACCAAGAAAAGGATTATCGCACATCATGAACTGATACAACTCGTGCCTATGTCTGAGGTACTTCCCAGAGATATGGAAACACGCAATCCTGTTTCCATTGCTGAAATCATCCAAGACTGGAAACAAAGAGGAACACTACAGGCCCATTAATCTGCATCCGTATCTCGTAAAAGTATTCGAGAAAATTATTCTTAATTATCTTTGAGACTTTTGTGAGGAGAACTCTGTCATCTCATATGAACAAACTGGCTTCCAAACACACCTCAGCACAGACCACCACCTGATGAAACTACAGACTGATATGTGTAGAGAACATGGGGGCAGGGTGGCCGAATAGGCTAAAGCGTGTGTAACAGCACCGCTAGTTGCCTGGCAACTGGATAACAGAGATTTGAGATGATATAAAAAGTACGAGTTCGCGTCCCGGTGCCGGAGGGGATTTTAAATTCCCCGCCCTCACCCCCCGGCCCGGTAAAATCCCGTATAGCCTAAAAGGCGAGGTAGGGAAGAACATGTAAGAAAAATGTGTAGAGAACATAACTGGAACGCAGAGACAGCCATGATTTCTGTAGACAATATGAAGGCCTTTGATTCTGTCTCTCATGGTATTTTATGCAATAAGTTAACAGATCTCAAGTGCTCAGAACAGCTCTATAGCATTATAGTATCAATTTTACATAGAAGGAGCCTAGCTGTACGAGTTTGTAACAAACTTTCCAGGACGATAGCACTAACATGAGGAGTACCACAAGGAGCAGTGTTATCCTATAAACTCTTTACTATCTATACCCCAGAAACAATTGGTTAATACTTACAAGCAAGCAAACACTGCCGCAGACAATATTGTTATTTACAGCAGTAGCATCAAACACATTGTAGCACTACATTAGGAGAATTACAAAAATTAAATATAAAAGTCAACCCGATGAAGACAGACTGCATAGTGTTCGCCTTACAGAAAGGAAAAGGAGCCAGACTACCATGGTCTTTCCGAGTGGCTGATACCACATTAAGACCACCCAACTCATTAGTTTACTTGGGGATCAGAATGGACCGTCATATGACTCTCTCAGCCCACTGCTACAAAAAGGCTTGGTTGACCCAGAGAAGATCATACCGACTACACCACCTACAACTTTCACCCGTCCTCTCCCTCTATCTGAAAATAAAAATTTATAAGGGCATCCTGAGACCTAAACCCCTTTATGGCGCTCCACTTTCACACATATCTGTGAAGGAACACAGAGTCACCTACAAAAGTTTCAGGACAGTATAATACAAAAAATTTGTATGAAAAAAATTGAATTCCACATCATTGAAAAAAAAAAAGCCTGTACCACTACAACCCATGAAGGGTTCAGTACTATTTAGGGAAAGTATTGTTTCAAGACCAACGATTGTGTAGGGAGGGGATCGGGCCAGGATCATGCTCAATCGCCAGGTTTTCCCCCTTAATTAATTATATAATTAAGGGTACCCACTTTGTAAAGGCTGGGTGTGCCGTAGGAGGGCCCTCTACCCCAGGGTCAGAATAAATACATTTTCTGCCATGACCCGGGATTCGAACTTGGGTTCTTGAGCATTAAAAACTTAGTGCCCTGCCACTGAGATACCCCGCTCCCTGGGTGTTTTTGCAGCAATTGATTCTGAAAAATAATTAATTCATTTTAAACCATTCAACAATATGATGGAATAAAAAAAGAAAAAAATAGCTTTAGTTTTTTTAGGTTTTTAGACTCATAGAGTATGCCCCGGTACTTAAATAAAAAAAACAAGGTAAAGAAAACACAGTTTCGCAATAGAAATCAAAACACCTTAAAATGCAGCACTACTGCAGAAAAAATGGATCAAGATTTAATAGAAACTCTCAGGGATCAATAAAGGGGTTTTGGAAATAAATAAAAATAAGTGTAATTCAATGAAATCACCTCTTGATTATAATCTTTGTTAAAATAATGAAATTTTTATAAAATGACAGAATAAAATGTCATTAAATTGTATCTGAAGAAAGGTTAATACTTATACTTTCATTTGTAATCAGACATAAATAAAAGATTTTTAAAAAAGACAATATATGAACAATACTTACACCTTGAGTCTTTTTCATGATTCCCTGTGCCTGGTTTTCTTACTTTTCTTCTTTTAAGTTTTAACTGTCTTCTTGTCTGCTAAAAGTTACAAAGAAAAAAAAATCTCTGCTCAGTATATTTCTTTTATACTAAATATTACAACTATAATGTCTCCTGTATCATTATACAAAGTGGTGCCCAGTAGGGAGTTCTTGGCACAAGTTGCACCTTCAAAATTTTGAGGGGAGCACATCTTCAAGGGGTTATGAATTTTGGAATGAAAAGTTTCAAACCAAGGGACAAGGGGGAAGCATGGAATAGACCACATCAAGTGTAATTGTATATGATCTACTATTTTTTAAATTCTACTTTCACTTCTATTGTTTTTAAGAAGAGAAGAGCAAACAATTTCTTGGGAGAGAGAGAAGGAATGGTTCATGCGTCATCGATCTTGTGAAATCCTCCCTTTAAATCCTCCCCAGGGGACACCCCTGATTAAACTTATATATTGCCTTGAATACGGCACATGCATTGTACCATTTTCATAGACATTCCAATTAATTATTTGAACTAGAGCCAGAACCAAGATTTTTGACAGAAGCAGCAAACTTAATTTTTTCATCCCTTCTTTCTCCTATTACCACCTCATACCTGCTATAAAAGTCAATATTTGACATAATATACTATTAACTAATTTTACTGACTCAATTAAGGTCAAAACAATCAACATACATTTTTTTTATTTCTATTAATCTAAACACATTTTGCTTACAATTTTTTAGACTGAATTTGGCAAAATCGACAGAACTTCTAAATAAAAGTTTTGTAAAGCATTTACTTGAAAAGTTGCAAGTGTACAAGTTCTACTTCCGTAATAACAGAAAAAACAATTGAAAATAAAGATTCCATCTATATCTTGACTGATTAAAAATAAAATAATTATTTCATGTAATCCATAAAATGTTTTTTAACTATAACAAAATTGTTTCTTCAAATGCTGTATCAATTTACTTCCAGCCTATCTCTTGTTTTATTTTAATATTTTTATTTTGATGTTTTTGGCCTGGGGGCCAAAATTTTATTTAGTAAACCATGTTCAAAGGATTTTTTGTTTAGCTTTATATTTAAGACCTTCAGATATTTTAAATTTATTATTATCAAGCAAATATTCATAATAATAATTTTCATCTTCAGCTACTTAACTTAAGATTTCACTTCATATACACCCATGAACTCTTTTATTGCCAGCATAGTACCAGTCATTACATGCATCTGTGATTTCATTGTTAACAGTGTAATCCGTTTAAAAAAAGATCCATAGAAACAATAGATGAGGTCAATTACAGAACAAGCTAAAAACTAAAAAAAAAAATCTGGTACATGCAACACACAACTTTTACTTGCCTTTCTACATTGAATAGAAATTATTTTCATTATTTTCTGGCAATGTTGAGCAATTATGAAATTTTTGAAGTGCACTTTTAACAGAGCTACAACTTAAAGCTTACAGCTAACAAATCATTGACACCATTAAAATAACAAAAACCCTATCAATTATATCAATGGTAGACAATAGAAACTTCGGTACTCCATCTGTTTTGGTAAACCACATAATTCCAGTCTCTGAGAAATATATATATGCCAAGATAGATTTGAAAGTATATCTCTATATTCAACCTATAAATGGTTATAGATTGTACGCCTATTAGTTATTAAACTGTTATTCTCCATTGTAAAGTTTACTACAAAGAAACTACAAGCTTTTCATTGACTACCATCACTAGCCGATCCAGGATTTAATTTTTGAGGAGGCTTCAGCCCCAAAATCTTTTTTTAAATATACATAATGATAATGATTTTGGAAAAAAAAGAAAGATACTAACTACCTATATGAAATGGTGTTTAAGTGATTCTTGAAGTTTTTTTTAAATATAATTCCACGAACTATAATACTTTAATAGTTAATTTTTTTCCATGAAATATGGTTACATTTTACCACTTTAGTGGGCTTCAGCCTGAAAGCATACATCCACACATACACCACATACATGAACAAACACAGACAGACAGAACATTTTGTGGGACTTGGTTATTTAGACTCGGGGGACCGCAAAACATGCTTCTCTTGAACACTCAGATTCGAAAAGTTTCACTATATATTACATTACATATATAGGTAAGTGAAAGAAAAAATTAGACTCAAAATAGTGTAAACCTTGATCTTCAAAACTTTTTTTGTTGCAATACAATTCTTTCAAACTGAAACTCCTTCGCCCACCAAAAAAAAAATCACAACTAATTTTTTTTTATTGGTTTATATTTGTTTAGGTGAATGATCTGAGCTATAAATAATCACAATATGTTGTATTTATAAACTATTACACATATATAGCTGCTAAACATAAGCTTAATGAAAAAAATATAAAAAGTTTATAGCTAAAGGCATTATATTGAACTGGCTTTCAAGAATATATTAAATATCATTTCATATTCTTATTGTTTTTTCATCTAAAATGATTAGTGTTATTTTATTGTAGCTTTTAGAACAATAGTTTTTATGTAAGTGAATATTCTTATTAAAACTTAACGTTGTTGAAGATGAAACAATTTCCGATTAAGACAATTTAATATCGTTTATGTCCAAATTCAATTTCAATTGGTGTTAGTGAGTGAGTATATGAGGAAATTAAACAACTTACCGATATCGGAGCGACAGATTGCTGGAGTCCAGTATTGTGTTCCTGCGCGCTGGACAGCCACAGGGCTAGGGCGAAGTATGCCAAGAAGCCGGTAATTTTGATGACGACCTTAGAAAGAAACGGAAATATAGCAATTTTATTTTTGATAATGAAGAATAATAAAGAATAAAGAATGATTTTAGTAATCGTTGGTTACCTGGAGCTTCATGTCGACGGTGATGCACACTAGAAGGAGCAGGGACACATGTCACGTTATATAGTGACACTTTCCCGAAGGAAAGCAGCCACACCTCATCCGAAAAGACAATTAAATCTCCTTCCTCCATTGTTCTTCCTTCCTACTTCCGTCTATTCCATCAGATCTTCTCCATGACTTCTGTAAACTCACGCTAACTTGTGCAATGAATTTGGATACTACATAGATATCTGGATATTCAGCACGTAAGACAAATATAATTAGGTAAAAAGGAGTGAAATTCAAATCAGAATGTTTTTTAGTGTCTGAGAGCTAATCTGTTCTAAAAAATAATAATGATTTCGTATGAGATAAGTAATGCTATTACGTTTTGCTGGACAGAAATCATTTCATATTTAATATTGATAGGTAAGGAATTCTATATTCTTTTTTTAAATACAATGTTAGGAAAAAGAATACCTATTAATTAGAAAAAAAATTGTTTGAAATACTCACATGGGATTAATTGTTTTGATAAAAGATTGAAAAATATATTAAAAAATAAAATATTTGGCTATATAAATATATACTCAAATGTTTTAAATTATATGAATAAATGTTATTTTTAACCGCAATAGTAAAAAAAGGTAACTCTTTGAGTAACACTTTTTACTTTCCTACCGCTAATTAAATTACCTACAAAACAAGAACAAAAAAAAACATTGAAATCGAATCAGTCTATTTTTAATTTATTACTTTCCTGCCTATACTAGGTAAGGAAAGTATTGAGATCGAATCAAATTTCCAATATAAGTTTTTCAATGGATCTTTACGTTTCATAGATCCCTGACTTTGAAAAAACATATTCTCATCCATTGGCCTGTCTGTCTATGCCAAGATTATCCCGAAAACGAGTTTTTTATATAGGATTTTGACTGGCGATAAAACAAAGTGGACGCTTCCTGAGCAAAAGCACATGCGCAATAAGAATATTTTCCCAAGAATATTTTCGACTTAAAGTCCTTTAAATGTAGTGAATTCTTAATAAAGTTCGGGAGGAAAAGTTATAAAGAAAAGGTGATGAAGTTATTTACAAAAAAAAAAAAAAAAAAAAAAAAAATCATCAGAATCGAATCAGTATTAACAATGATATAGTGTATTTTATTTTCTACACATGTTTTATTTTATTACTTTCTTACCGCTATAGCAGTAACAGTGTAACGTCCAATGGACAAAACCCTGAATTTTTATTTTCTTATATTTAACTTTAAACTCTCTAGTTACGTTGAGAAACTATTCAAGGAATTAGAATTGTACAAAACCAATAAGTATTATTTTTATTTTGATCAGCAAACACATTAGCAGTCTTGTAAACAAGGCTAAGTCTTCAAAATCTGTTTCATGCCAACAAATAGTTTAAATCTCTTTCATTGAAGATAGAACATTGTTTTTATTAAGTGATCCGATAACGTCAAAACTATTCCTTTTTTATCTGATATAATTTATTATGGGTAAGTACTCTCTTATCATTTATCTTGTATTATTCTTCATTGATCTTTGACATTTTTTTTAAGTTCACAATTTTGATGGACCATAGCAAGGAAACTTCCCAAAACATCTTTCCAATTTTTTTAGAGCATAAAGTTTACCTCATGTATAATGTACAAAGGGAAAATTAATTTGCCGAAATTTGCCGATTTCAACGATTTTTATTTTTTATTTTCAGATTCATTACATAATACAAATTCTTTTTTACAAATTTGGAATAATGTGGATAAATTCAAAAAAACGGAATCAATCTTTGAGCAAATACTGAGTCAATCTGATCTGCACGATGCTCCTAAAGAAATATTGAGCAATATTAGAAATACTGCCAGTTTAATCTCATTTAAGATGTCAAAAATGTGGGAGCGTGTTCACCGCACAGAAAAAACATTCTTAACCTTATACAAAGACTGATTGGAATAAGATATCAATTTAGAAGAAATTGTTATCAATTATTATCAAGAAAAGGGCAATTGATGTCCTGATGGTCCTTCCGGCTTACTTGGAGGTAGACCTTCCAGAGCTTGCTTTATGGAGAAAAAATGTAAAAAGGCAAAGCAAAATCAGTCCAGACATTAATGAATATATAATGGAGATTATATATTCTTATATAATATAGATTATTACAATAATCAAATAGACATTGGTTTCGGTATAAATTTACGTTCCGACGAATCCACAAACGATTCAGACTCAGAATTAAGAAATGATTTAATAATTTCATAGAAAATGATAAAATATTATTATTCTATGGCAATATTACTATATGTATAATTTACTAGGATACTATTACTATATTATATGTTACAGTTATATTACATTTCATATTATATTTTATAATATTGTTATTCCTGATATTATTACCTCCTATATTATTTCTATTAATATTACAAATAATATTATTATAATTGTATGGTATACATTACTATACCATTATTAACTTGTTTTGAGTTGAAATTAATTAATAAAAATGTTTATTTGAAAATAACTAGTGGTTAATGATTTTTGTCCATTATCCCCAAAACTTGGTTACACTGTCGCGCGCGACTAGGAAAATATCTCATATGCAGTTTTCAACTATCTTTACGTTTCAGAGCCCTTGAGTTCGTTACAGGCCTAAGCTCTTCTCATTGAGGTTTAATTGATAGAAATGTATATCGATTATTTCAAAATCATGCTACAAAACTATATAAGTAGCAGAATTACGTTATGATAAATAAGAAAGCACAAGATGAAGACGGAATAAAATTCTTCTTCATATTCTTTTCCTTATTTTCTTGTTTAAAGTTGTTGAAATATAATCGTTATTTTATTCTCTAGCAATGTAATTGAATCACACATACATTAATATTGTATTGGAGTTTATAATTTAAATTCCGAGGTCAATTACTTAACATTTGTAAAAAGTTGATTTTTCATTATATTTCATTTCCAAAGAAGAAACACAAGCCTAGGTAAAATAGATTGTAAAATGGCAAAGTTTTAAAACTCGATGCGACTTCAAGGCTAGAAAGACAACGATAAAGTAAATAAAGAAATCTGAGGCAATTCTTGAATGATTGTGGTAAATTGTGAGAAACAGCTTTTGTTCGCCTTTGTTCCGAAGCCGGTAACATCGAAAAATAATAATGTATAATAAGTTGATTTAGTCTAGGCAATTACACAGTGTTTGAATACAGTAGCAATACGTTTGTATAATGTTTTCATTGTCACTTTTTCACTGAATGATCCTTAGAGATACCAATCTTATTTTGCTATGTTTAGGTTACTACATGTAACCTATCCGGATAGATACATAAACCTCGGAACTATTATGCCATTACGATAAGAATCGCAACGGTCTGAGCTTCCAATGAATTTTTAAAGAATAGTGGTATTAATTGAGTGTCGGATAACTTCGGCTATGAATTTCCATGCGGATATACATAGAGGAGAATAAGAGGAAAAAAATACTAGTTTCCAAAATTCAGTTTTTTTTTTTGTTCCATAAACTCGTAATCAGTTTCAGTTATTATAATTTTAATTATTTTTTGTTTGTTTCAGAATTAATAAATTAAGAATGTACGGCAATGCACGAAAATTATTGTTAAACTAATGAAGCAAACTATTGCAGGAGTAAGACCGATTGACTGAAGACTAAAAGAATAAAACATAAAGATATTGTTAATAAAATCAATGAAATAAGGCTTTCATTTAAACTAAAATAACTTCCCAGAACAATTTAATAGAATAGTAGCATCACTGTGGGTCACAAGCTTTTCGACTTTCTGTGATAATTCTTCGCTCATATTTAGAAGTCAGAAAAGTCATAAATTTATATTATATCAGCTACCTTAGATTGTAAATGAAACAAAAAACTCATAGTTTGTTTATAATGTATTGATATTAGTTTTTTTTATTTTATTTAATGAACTATTTTTCGGTCAGTTGAAGGAATTCGCGCTAGTTTTGCGCAAATTTGCCACCAATCCTGAAATTTTAAAATGCTCCAATCCAAAGCTATCATGATCAAAGAGAAGAAGCACTAAACATATAATAATATCAAAAATAAAAATTCTTCATCTACAACAAATATTTCCGAAAATCATTGATTACTTTAATAGTAATTAAAAAACATTGAAACTTAAACGGGACCGTTGGAACGATTTAAACTTCAAGAACCGTTGCGGAACAAAAAGTATTGATGTATGATGTAAAATGGTGTATGACTTAGGAGGAAAAATTGTACTATAAAAATTTAACTTTTTGTTAACATATCTCTGTATTATTATAAAAAAGTTTTTAGTGACTATCATATTTTTATGTACTTATACATAGATTTTTTTTTTTCTGACTCCTCAGAAAAAACTTCATTAATAAGCAAATACATCATAAAAATAGAGATACAAAATATGTAATGCAATAGATGTATACCCATAATCTATGACCTTTTTTTACCCGGAGGTATTTTAAGGTAGGCAAGGAATATGTATGCGGTATGCATTTTTAGCATTTGAGGCACGAGGACTAAATATACAAAGGTTTTTTTTTTTTTTTTTTACCCTCTCTAAGAAATATGTTATAAGTACTCTATATATATATATATACTGTTATGTAACTTTATTTACAGGTAATAAGATGCGATGTATAATATAAATTTATAAAGAAGTTAAAAAAATTCTCGGAACTGAGGTTCCGTTCTGTTTATTTTATGTTGCTAAAAAATAATTTAATCTGAGCTTCAGAGTACATGTGAATTACAGTTATAAAATATGAAAAATGAAATGAACTGTTGTATAATCTGTTAAATGGGGATAGGGTGTACCCTCCCCATAATCGAATTAATTTACTATTATATTTCTTCTTCTTCTTAATCATTTCCTCTTCTACTGCTGAGCGGTGTGAGGAGCCTTCTTGTAGAGCTGGATCCACAGCTCTCGATCCTGAGCCAACTACCGCCTCCTCCTCCACTCAATATCCCTTCTGTCAAAGGCCTCCTTGAAGGCCTCATCACCGTTTTGGGCTGATCTTACGTTTAAATATTATTATATTTAATTAGAATAAAACGATTAGAAAGCTTTTGATGAAATACTTTTATAAATATTTAAACAATTTAAGTACTATTACATTCCTTGAAAGAAAGCCTGCTTAAAAAAAAAAACATTTTTTCACAAAAC